CCCCGTCCCCGCTCTCCTTCGTCGCAACACTTCGAGAATGAGCAGCCCAATCTACCCCCGCGATGTGTCGCCCTTCGACGCGAGCTACCTCGTCCAGTACCGCTTCCCCACCTCCAACGTCCGCGAGTCGACAGAGCCCTACCCGCCGCGCCGACCCGCTGTCCCCGTTCCCGCCCCCGCTCCCGCTCCCGCCCCCGCGCCACCAGCCCCCGAATTCAGAGAGACGGAGACTGGGCTGTGGACCGACGGGGTCCACAAGGCATACAGCACGGCGTACGCCGCCGTCCAGACCTTCCTGGGGAGTGTCCGCGCGAAGGTCGCCGCCATGGTCCCGCTCCCGCTCGCCAGGCAAGACCCCGGCCCGTCCACTCCCCCGCGCATGGATCATCATCTGAACGTGAGGGAGCCGGTGGTAGGCAGGTATGACGTTGCCGAGGTTCTGCCCATGGCAGACAACAAGTTGTGCGACATCGTCTTCGCACTCGCCGCCCTCGCCGTCTACCGGGACCCGAAGGACACGGCGCACTTTGCGATCTGGTCGGCGGAATACTTCGTTCAGGCGAGTATTGCAGAGCTGATAGAGAAGCTGTGTATGTCCATTCACCTTTGCCCTGCGCCTCGCTGCATCTCACATACTCACTTCCTGCCACAGGCCACGAAGGTCACATCAAGCACACATACGGTCCCAAATTCTATGTGTCCTTGTCGGCGCTCGGGAGATGGCAGAGACCGTATCTGCCAAGCCGTCCTCCGAGCACACTGCCGCTTCCCGACGAACCACTGCCCCGCCCCCGCAAGCGCAAGGCCCCCGCAATCGCCGCCCCTGCCCCAACACAACCCCGGGCCACGACGTCCAAGGCAAAGCGCAAGGGTAAAGGCAAGGAGCGCGCCGTGGACGTCGGCCCCGCCTCCCAACAGCCCGCCGCCGTCGACCCCTCGCCCCGCCCCACGAAGCGCGCCCGCAAGATGGCGCCGCCGCCGCCGGCAGATGGAGAGGCACAGCAGCCGCTGCGCCGGAGCTTGCGCCCGAAGAAGGACAGCGCAAAGGCGGAGGAGGCGAAGAAGGCCGCCTCCCGCACGCCGGCGCCAGGTGCGCCGCGCGTGTCCAAGTCGAAGACACCGGGGCCGTCGCGCGTGGCGAGGTCAAAGACGCCGCTGCTTGTCCTCGCCCCAGCCGCCCCTGAGGCTGCCCCCGTCCTACCCCCCATAGCAGAGCTCGACGAACCCGTCGAGGTCGCCGCCGTCGTCCTCGCCCTCGCCACTGTCGCCGCCGTCGCCGCCCCCATCGCCCCCATCGCCGCCCCGCCACCATGCACTACGCTTGAGGCGAAGATCGAGCACATCGAATCTTCGCTCGGGGAAGCCTCGTCCGCCCCCATCGCTCCCGCTACAGCCATCCTCCCTCCCCCATCCGACTACCCTGCCGCTCTCAGCGCGACTGCAGGGCCGTCGGACGTCGTCGCCACACACACTACATCCTCGACGCAGGACGTCGTCGTCGACATCGAGGCGACGCTCTCGCAGGATGTGCCGGCGCCGTCCGCCCCCGCCCTCGCTGCCCGTCCCCGCACCAGGAAGCAGAGGCCGCCCCCGCGCGAGGGCACGCGCAAGTCCGCGCGCAACATCCCCGCGCCGCTCCTCACGTCCGCGACGCTCGAGCTCGCAGACGCGGAGGCCGCCGCCACCGCCACGGACACGTCGATGCCCTCGGCGGAATCCAGCACGGCGGTCAGCGCATCGCCGTCGGCGGACACTGTCGCGCCGTCAGAGGGCGCGACGCGGGAGACGAGCGCGGAGGGCGCAAAGGCGGAGGTCCCGCCGCCGTCGCGGAAGCGCAAGGCGGAGGACGCCCCGGCCCTGGAGTCCGTGCAGGACGAGAAGGCGCAGAGGCCGGTGAAGAAGGCGAGGACGACGGCGGCGGCGCGCGCGAAGAAGGCTGCCACGCCGGTCCTGCTAGCGGACCCTGCCATGTCGCTCGAGGTGGCGCCGCGGGAGGAGGTCAAGAAGAGCAGGGCGCCGTCGCAGAAGCGAAAGGCGCAGGAGGCGCTGCCGGACGAGCAGGAGCCGGCGCAGGGCGACGAGCGGCCTGCGAAGAAGGCGAAGGTGGAGGAGAAGACCCCGGGCGCGAACGAGAAGCCTGCGAGGGCGCCGGCGAAGTCGCGGAGCCGCGCGAAGAAGGCGTAGAGGCCTGCACGCTCGGGAGGAGCGTGGAACGTGGAGAAGCGGGAGTGCCCGCGAGGTGTATTTCTATTCCTATCATCTATGCTCCCCATCTTCTCTCATCTCTCTCATCTCGTCTCTTTATCCATTTATTTTCTCTTTCTCGCGTCTCGTGTCTCGTCGCGGATTTGTGTCTCGATACCACTGATTGTACAGATACCTCATCTGTCTCTGTTCTCCACTAGCATTTGTTCCTCCTCCACAGCATTGACTCCGCACTATACTACCAGCCCATCCCACGGACTCGGATCGGATCCCTGGCACAGAGGTGTACGGTACTGGCCCTGTTGTACTCGGCATAGATTATCTTTTGTACCTGCGCCAGCCGCGCTGTATCGCTGTTGATGTATTCCGTGGATTACTCGGATTCTCTCTCACAGACTGGCCCTGATGACGCGTGAAGACGAACGGTGCGACGCGATCAGGGCGCAGCCACAGACGCGTCGCGACGCGTTCGTGGGAGCGCGGGGTGCTCACGCGGCGGGGTGCAGACGCCCGAGCTCTGCACATGGGCATCACCGGCGACTCTCCCGCCGGTCAGATGGCCGGCGACCCTGTCCCCAACTCGCTCTTCTCCTGGCCCTAGTACCTCGTTGACTCGTACCCCTTGCCTCTGCCAGTCTCCGCGATCACACCATGTCGAAACCTGCGAGACCGTCGACGCCGTACGGCGGGGTGCCTGCGACGGTCAGCGCGGACGAGTTCCGGGAGAGGACGATCTCGCGCCTGAAGAGCATCCAGACGCACCTCGAGACTGCACCGCGGCTGGGTAGGCTGAGGGGCAAGGTGTGCGTTATTACCGGCGTGGGCTCCTTGCAAGGGATCGGGTGCGTCACTTCGTGCTACTGTATTGGCTTAGCTGACATTTGGGGCCACAGGCGGGCGACGGCGCTGACGTTTGCGCATGAAGGTGCAGCAGCGCCATGCGTGTGGTGCTCGTGCATGCGCTGATGAGGCGTTTGTAGGATCGCAGCACCTGTACCTGATCGACTTTGACGGGACCAACCTCCCGGACCTCAAAGACACGATCGCGAAGAGATACCCCGACGTCGAGGTGCGCATCTCGTCCGCAGATCCCGCAAATCCACATCCACAGTGCTCATGGATATCTTCCAGGTGACGACCATCGAGGCGGACGCTGCGGACGAAGAGGCCATCTCGGGCGTGTGCAAGCAGGCTCTCCAGGAGGAGGGGCGCCTCGACGTCTTCTTTGCCAACGTGCGCCGCTCGTGTCCTCACTCCCTCACTATCGCTGATGCGGCCCTTTGTGCTAGGCTGGCCTGGGTACGAATCGCCACCTGCACGATATCTCTGCCGAGCAGTACATGCACGTCATGCGCGTCAATGCCCTTTCGTGAGTCCGCCTCGCAATTCGGGGGCCATGACGACAGGATTACATGTACGCTCCGTGCAGGTGCTTCCTGGCTGTCAAGTATGCCTCGCAGGCGATGATGAAGGCGAACCCGTCGCGCGGGAAGCAGTTCAGCGGGGGAAGCATCATCCTGACTGCGTCCGGTGCGTATCCGTTTTGGTCCCATGAATTCCAGTTGTCTCATACTTTGGCTTTACAGTTGCGGGGCTGAACTCGGGAGGCGGTGCTCTTGACTGTATGCCCTTCTGCACATTTCACTGCCCATACACTGACCCTGATTCTCTCCAACAGACAGCGCAAGCAAAGCCGCGTGCGTCCCTGTTCCTTCCTCTCCCTCATCTCTTACAACCCTGTACTCCACCTCGATCCCTCCTTGTCTATCTCCACCTTCCCCGTCGTGCTCTGACAGTCACCCGCCTACAGTGTGAATAGCATGGCCAAGACGGCCGCGTACCAGCTGATGCGCACGGACGTGCGCGTGAACGCGATCTGCCCGGGGCTGATCGAGACAGGCATGACGTCCGGCATGTTCAACTACGCGCGCGCCCGGGGTAACGAAAGCAAGATCGGCCAGCTAAACGCGATCGGACGGTATGCGGTTGCGCAGGGTGCGTCTTCTGGTCTGTCTCGTCGGTCCCTTCCCTCACGGCTACGATGTATCATCGGCTACAGAGATCGCGAACGCTGCACTGTTCCTCGCAAGCGGTGAGTAATTGTCATGTCATTGGACGTGCCGGCCCTGATCACTCCGTCCGCGCAGACGAGGCGAGCTACGTGAACGGACAGAATTGGGCGGTCGACGGCGCTCTTGCAAGCTCGATGCCGACAGTGCCCGGCCGGTGGGCATGAGAGGTTCTTGGATTCCTTGACATGGATATGGACATTTGAAGTGTTGGAGCGGATGGTTGTACAGCATGCCCTGTGGGATCCGCGCAGCGGCTGTGCTTGTGATATATCTCTTGCATGTATTGATACATGGCTTGTGTATGCAAATGATGGATGGGTGGTCTCTCGTGGACCTGTTTAACAAACACGATCGTTCAACAGTGCAGTTCCTCTTGCATATTATCATGCAAACAGACGCTTAATCAAAGCTGCATTTAAAGTAATAAAGTCATAAAATAGTATCAAACAAGGGTCTTATGTCATGAATGTCCAGCAACAAATGGTTTCGATCCAGCTACCTCGGGGTTGTAATCATACAACGAATCGCAAGGTGACATGGGGGCCCAGGTCAGGGGAAATATATTGAAGGTCTCGACACCCAACCTCTGCGAAAGCTGGTTTCATTCCAGTGATCTAAAGTTCCAACAGCGCCGGGTAAATTGCTCAGGCTTGGTACAGTCAAAAGAGACATGGGAAACAAAAGGGGCAATAGAAAAACATCCACATGATATACGTTCTGTGTTAGCAACAACTGGTTTCGATCCAGTGACCTCGGGGTTTCATGGACCAGGGAAATACCCCTGGGCACCGGTATGAGCCCCGCGCGCTACCCCTGCGCCATGTTGCTGTGATAGTAGGATTCTAGTAATAATATACGTTGCTGTGCATTTTTCCGAATATTTCTGCGATTTTTCCCCGTTGGGAAATCGTGTTGCATTGCATGGAAACGCTGAATGAATCGATGATGGCAAGAGGCGCTAGGCGCGTTCCCAGCCGGTTCAGTGCTGACATAATTCAAACACCATCATGGCCTCCCTTGCAAATACCGAACCGGCTGGGCAAATTGGACGCCATTTACCTGAGTCACTCTGTGGGAATTGAGACTTAGTGAAATCACGTCATTGCGTCTTTAGCAGCAGCACATGCATCCTTCATTCTCTCATGCTGTAGCATAACTATACTCCTATTGTAGCACATTGTTGAAAATCAAGCACGTTCGAGCGAGAATGTATGAATTAGAATGTAAACTACGGTATGGAAATTTTCTATTTATATGTAGCGCGGCCGGCAAGTGCTGAGTCCACTCGGTGGCGAGACGTATCAAAACGGGAAATTACAACACACATCTGCGTACTTGATTGACCTAAGTACATGCCACAAGCGGTCAATGCCCGCCACAAATAGCACAAAAGGAAAAAGGAGGTTGAAGCTGAGAGCAAAAGCACCAAAGAACTATGTAAAGATTTATGGACTGAATCACGGAAGCTTAAGGCGGGTAGACACTATACATGTGTTGTCGAGCCAGCCTTCAATTGATCCCGAGGCCATGGATGAAGGCCTGTTGGCGTTTGTTCAGACTATGAAGTGTCACTGCAAGGTCTGAGGAGCTGTTTTTGAGAGCCCTCCAGAGGGTGAGTACTCGAGCAAACATATGATTGTTGTGCCAGCACTCACACATCACACAGGTGTTTGTGTCCCTTGTTGCGATATCTGCTCACCTGAACTTCTTGACCGCACTCGGCCACCCCAACTTGCAAAAACAAAAGTCAAGACACCACCTCGAGGCGAGCCAGACCCCGAAGCTCAGCTCCAGTTAGAGACTTGGCGCGAACTGATCCTGCAAGAACATCACACCCACGCCCATTTTGACAGCAGCAGAATTCTTGACGATGCTACAGTCGAATTGCTTTCCTCAATCGGCATTGTTGAAGCATCTGTACACACATCATTGCTAGAGACGTCTTGGCTATAGTGGGATTGCCATGGTGCTGTGTTACTGGAAGTTCTTTTGTTGCTCAAGCCCAAGTTTGTCCTATGGAAGATGGAATCAAGCAAAAAACGGTCAACAATGGAACCAGCCGCTACACAACTATGGCTACTGAGCCTGAGCGTGCGGCGAAGTGTGCCCGGTCAGCCCTAGAGGATCGCAGTGTCAGTTCCAATCTGCCTGCTGAGATGTCAGTTCCCACATACCAGTCTCAAACGATGGCGCGCTCATTCATACCATGGGAGTCGCCACATCTGCCTATGTGACCTCACTTGACGTTCGGCCCACTCGGCTACATCGCATCTCCTGCCTTTCTTCTGGTGCCAATATCGCCAGCATATTCCTTTGGCATACTGCATTCGTCGCATCTGGCGGCCTATCCTGCTCTACCAGTGGGGTCCATGTAGACAATGGTGTACCTGTCCCAGTCGTGAGTACTACCGGCAACTCGACGAGCAGTGGCACAAGAGTAGCATCAGCCACACAAGATCTGCCTCGCAGGAATGCAATATTCACGTAGCAGACACTGTTGACTCCGGAGAATTGGCACACATTGTCATCTACAAGAGCACGTGGCGGCAATCGACACAGAGGTGGGCGTGGGCGCAGACAGGGATAGGTGTCCATGACGAAGAATGAGTAAATCTTGGGTTTTGCTCGAGAGTTGTGCAGATATGTTATAATTGTCCACATAGATTATAACTGTTATATTGGTATATGAAGTGAAACAGAGGTGTTTTATGCATAAAGTATGGTGTGAGATGCGAAATTGTCTCCTAGCATGCACACGATTTCACCAAGTCTCGATTCCTACAGGGCAACTCAGGTAAATGGCGTCCAATTTGCCCAGTCGGTAAGGACGCGTCTTCCCCGTTCAAACTCAGTAACCATTTGAGGAAGTGGATCTGTGTGAAATCTCTCGCAGAGTTACCAAATTGAGATGAGGGGAACGACACATCCTAACCGACTGGCTGGTGAGTCTAAAGAGGCGCATGAGTGGCCAGAGTTGCCCGATCCGGATAAATTCCCATGCTGCGTGAGCCTCCATGCGCTTCCCCTGCGCCGCGCTGCTCCCGCCAGCTCCTCCTATCCAATCCAAAAAAAAGGACGGCAGTGTTGTCGCATAGGTGAGCTTGGTCTGTTCTCCAGCCGTTGTGTCAATGAGGCTGATGTACTGACTAGTTTATTACTCCCATGATGATCAATAGTTCTACCAGTTCGTCCGCCGCATCAGGAAAACTACATGTAACTTGGGCTGTCTTGAGCCATCTTGAGTCTTGGAAGGTCATCTTAGTCTTAACAGTAGCATCTTGGATGCCTTGTATGGTGTCTTGGGATCACTGAATACCAAGCTCACAAAGTTTGATCCATAAGTTGCCAAAAATGACACAGAACTTATACTAGTTCTATAAGATGAATTATATATGTACAGGACTAGTAACAACACTCGCAATTTGCATTACCGAGATGCTGCAATATGGGCGCTTATCTGGTATCATATTTGGTGTTGTTTGTTTAGATCGTGAAGAACTTTGCACGGCGTGGCGTTGCGGGGTGCTGCTTGTCTCGACTCTCACTCCTCAGCTTGCAAATGTCTTCTGTCTTCGATCTTTGGTCTCAATGTGTTCTCTCCTGGACTTTGTTCAATACTGGCTATGCTATACTGGCTTGGTGCGAGCACAAGAAAGACAGACAGCAAGTGTGCATGAGGATAGCGGAAGTGCGTGTGGGCATGAGCACGAAAGTTAGGCATGGGATATGAACGGCAGGTGAGTGATGGTCAGGTTACGATTATAGAGTGCTGTACTGATATACTTCTACTTTGGTGCATGCTGGAGGTACGTGCTGGTGCAGAGATGTGCCACAGACGTCATCCCTGGTATCTGACACGAAGATCCAAAGTTTATAGGCCGGAGCACTGGTCCTCGTGCTCAGCATCCTCTTGCCGCCATTCTTGTCCCCGTGCCTGTCATCCTCATTGCTGGCCTTATCCCTGTCATCCTCATCCCTGGCCTTGTCCATGGCGCCCTTATTCCTGCTGTTCTCATACCTGCTATCCTTGTGCTTGGCGTTTCCAACCTGCTGTTCTTGTCCCTGTGCCTGCCATTCTCATCCCCTTGCCTGCCGTTCTTGTCCCCTTGCCTGTCATCCTCATTCCCGGTCTTGTCCCCGCCGTCCTTATACCTGCCATCCTTGTGTCAGCGTCCTCCTGCTCAGCATCCTCCTGCTCAGCATCCTCCTGCTCGGCGTCCTTGCACCTGTGTTGACGAGGTCTGATGTTCACCAGCTTTGATACTGGTATATGCTTGGTACTATGTGTGGGCCATACAGCACTGTTGGGCTGCTACTGTCGCCATGGTAGAGATGATGTGTATGCTCAAAGGCTCTCAATATAGAATAGGCCTTTGTAGAACTGATGTATTTAGCATTATGGACAAAATAATATACGTTTTAATCAATATATTCAGAGGATTGCACAGAAGTTTGAAGTAGGACAGCATCTTATGACTGTCTTGAAACATGTCTTGAGGTCCAACTTGAGTGTCTTGCATGTCTTGCCAAGACATTTCATCTTGACCAAGAAAACCCACTGGGCTTGGCCAAGACCGTTGTCTTGGTGACTTGAAGGTCTGGACACCCAAGACAGGGTGTAGTTTTCCTGATGCGATAACACAGTGCTTCTTTTCGAGTTGGTACAAATATTGGCTAAGCGTGTGCAGAATGAATGCATTCATTCACTCCTGTGAGTACTCATAAATAAATGAATGCAGATGAGGCTCCGTAAAAAGTGCAGTCACTAGTAAGCTCAGGACGCGTGGGTGACTACGGCCTCGACCGTACGAAGGGCAGGGACGAGTTGGCGTTCTTGCTGACGATGCATACGATGCACTCGCAGCAGGGGCTGACAGTCTCCTCTATGATCAGCGTCCATCCAAGAAGAAGCAGCTGCTGCCTGAGGTGCCGTGCCTCGATGTCCTCGCGCAATGAGAGCGGAAGCCGCGCCACACGAAGCACTGCAGCATCATTGCGAGCTACGCCTGTAGTGGAGACGCGGCCCTGCCCTCGCGGGGCTGCTCCGCCGACGACGCTGTGCATCCAGACACTTCAGCAATGACAATAGCTTATATGCCTCAATCCGCGACACCGTCGATAACAGCCAGCAGCATTGCTAGGTACGCTGGCAGCTGCATGTGGACCGAGCTCCTATCGTCCTCGTGGAGAGGTCCATCGCCACCCTCGCACAGGTTCGGGTTGGAGAGCTCGTCATTTCGACCATCGGGCGTCGGACTAACCAGAGGAGCAGTCGAGATGTGAGAGCTTGCAGCACGTCTCCTCGCTGCCAGTGAGCATCCACACGAGTAGAGGCAGCCATCGGAGGTACCTTACCTCAATGTGCTCGCACAACACTTGGACGAGGCAGTAGTCACATCGCTGGTCACCCACGTCACATGAAACACAGCAACATCTGTACGTGCTGCTTCCGAGGCCCAGATACGACCTCGGTCTCGATCCGCCACCAACGCCGTGTCATCGAGTGACCTGAGAGATGGTAGCGGCTTGTACACCTCCATGTGCAACACCCTTTACGCACGACACGGTCGATGACGCTGTCTGCAGGGGTGCGGGGCACTCCGGGAGCTGCGCATGGGTCAAGCCTGCCAGGCCTCCTCGGCTGCTGTATTACCTGACAGCGGTCGAGCTCGTCGTCCTCCAGTCGGTGTCCATCGCCGCCACATAGAGATCCAAGTAGGGTGAGCTCGTGGCCCCGGCCATCGGCGGCAATGGCAGTGTTCAGCACGCCAACGAACTGGGCGATGAAGAGCTCATTGCGACATGTGTGTGAGGCAGAGAGAATGCTC